AAGGAAGGAAGGAAGGAAGGAAGGAAGGAAGGAAGGAAGGAAGGAAGGAGGGAGGGAGGGAGGGAGGGACTTACCTGGTCAGACAGGAGGTGGATTTTGGCCTCATACCGCGCACAGCATCCTGAGCTCACTTGCACAATACACGAAGTGCAAATGCTTTCTCCAGACACTGGTAGAAACATGGCTTTCTGGATGATGGCGTTGATCAGGGAGCTCTTTCCAGCCCCAGTACTTCCCAATAACCCAATGTAAATCGGGTCCAATGACGGTTTTTCAATCAAGGCAAGGAGCCTGTTTCTGTATCAAGTTTTAAGTGAACATTAAATGAGGAAGGATGAATGCGAGAATGGGATGTAAAGGTTCTGAATTGGAGTCTTGGGCAAGTTGCCTCACCCCTTCAAGTCTTTGTCAAGGGGGCATACGGACCCCTTTAACCACACAGAGTTGGCCTGGAAAGCAAAGGAGACTGTGCTCACCTACTTGGTAAAGGTAATTCTTTAGAAGCATCCTTGTTTGTGTTCTATAGAAAATGAACATTTCTGTTCCTAAATAAAAACTTATGCAGAGGTAGAGTAGCATGAGCGGCCACCCAGAGGCTGTTGTGAAGAAGCAGCTAGGGCCTTCGCTCAATCCTTTCAAATTGGCTTGGCATAAAAAGTTAGGGACTGGCCGGGCACCAGTGGCTCACGCCTGTCATCCTAGCTGCTCAGGAGGCTGAGATCTGAGGATCTCTGTTCAAAGCCAGCCTGGGCAGGAAACTCTGTGAGACTATTAGCTCCAATAAACTACTTACAAAAAGCCAGAAGAAGTGCTGTGGCTCAAGTGGTAGAGCACTAGCCTTGAACACAAAGAGGCTGAAGGACAGCACTGAGGCCTTGAGTTCAAGTCCCAAGACTGGCAAAAAAAGGGGGGGACTGAAGAGTTGCAAAACCTGGGTCAGATTTAAAGCCCTTTCACTTCTACCACTGTGTGACTTTGTTCCATGTCTTAGCTTCTCTGAGGCTCAATTTCAGTAAGATAGGATTGATGTAATAGCGCCTATTTTATAAGGGTGTTGAAAACATGAAAGAAGCTGATGGGCGGGTATGTAACTCAGCTGTAGAGGGACTGCCTCCTAAGCAGGAAGCCCTGGGTTTCATCCCAGCACACACACACACACACACACACACACACACACACACACACACACACCACTGCCACCACCACCACCAGAATCCTGGATGTCTGTAAGGACATCCAGTGGTCACAATAATGGCTCCTCTACGAGGCTTCTCTGCTGTCCTTTCTTACTTTACCACTGCAAACTCCTTCTCTTGGCAGGGGCTTGGGGGGCACGGACACTGGGTACCCACAATCACCCAAGGCGGGTCGCTGGCGTTGGGCATTCAGACTTACATGAGATACTTGACTCCATTAGGGATGCTGTCGTCCAGGAAGACAGACTGAATCAGTTTCTGGTACGTGTTACTCAAAACCCTTCGGGTCCGTGACTCCAATTTTTCATCTGGAATCCACAGAACTGTATTACCTGCGATGTACCCGGCAGGGATCGAGTGCTATGTAAGCAAAGGAGGGGTGCACTGAGTGGTGCCAAGAAAGGAACAAAGGAATGGGGGGGGCTTGGAGATGAGCGCTGCTCAGAGACTGCAGCGTCCGTTCTGACCACATCCAGGAGCCAGCCTGCCCCACGCCACCTCAGAACAGAGGTCATTTTACAGAGGCCACAGGCTGTGCCCCTCTGAGGGTCTCCCTTCTGTGACCATAGAAAGAACAAAATGCAAAGATATCGAGGCCCACGAGAGCACCAAAGCAATCGTCCGCACAGCCCTCGTTCTGCTCCAAAAGAGGCCGCTTTGCTCACCACTCTCCCACTATCCCAACTGAGAGCAGCCTGGAGATCAGTGGCCTATGTCTGCAGAGACTTGGGGGAACGGGTTCCGCTGGAGATGCTTCCGTCCAGCTTCTGATGTGAAGTGTCTCCTCTGGGCATTTCAGCCAGATTTGTGGATGACAGAGCCACAGGGAAGCGATCACTGCCTTGGTCTCGCACTTACATTCCTTTAGGGCACTCTGCTCCATGGTGGGAAAGGCCCGCAAGTGCTGGTCTCGATCTGACCGACGTCTTTTCTTCATTGGTTCTTTACATAGGTTGTCATCAACTAGAGATGCACAGAGGTTGTATAAAATGATAAGTGGGGGACAGTTTCTTTGCCTCGCAACTGTTAATACACAAACTCCAAGGGCCATAGAGGACCCTGTAGCCTCATCTGCCCAGAAATTCATTTGGAAAACGGCCCCGTGGGCTCGTCCCAGTTTTGCAGCCGCTCTACGCATTTGGTTCCAAAATGTAGAGTCCAACCTACATTTCACCCTCAGATGAAAGTCTGTATTTGCAAGTCCTTGGAAGCCAAGATGGCTTTTTTTTTTCCCACCAAATACCAACTGTCGGGAAATCAACTGACTGTGGGCAGAAAAATCCAAGCACAGTGGTAAGTGTGGAGAAAAGACGGGCTTTCTCAGATGAAGAACGGGACCCACAGTGGGACAGAGGGGAGAATGAGCCATGTCATTGGGCCAAATAACTTCTCCTCTGAAGCCACAGATGCTTCATCTATAGCAAGAGATCCCTGATAGAACAATTATCAAAGTTTTGGAGGGTATCCAATAGGATGGATGCCTTTCAAAGATGAAGTGAGGGACTTTCTCTTCTTCTCTGCCTAGATATTAGCAGCTTCTCCCTTACACTGGCAAGAATCAGAAGCCATGAGAAGGAGGTGTTCATAGTTCTGCAGTCATTCAGTCACTTAAATGCTTTCCTTTGGTTAGGGAGTGAAAGGGATGGCTCCAACGCTGTGTTTTGGATGAGTGTTAGCCACCACCCCTCACTGATGTTCACCTGGCTGTAAAGGAACTGCGGCATGGTCCTTAGGGTGAAGGTTGTTAAATGGTCCTGACCTAGGGCCCTGTGTTCCTAGGGCTGGTTTGTGCCTTAGGAAATGGCTTTGGGGTGGGACTGAAGAATCAAGCTCTATGAGCCATAATACCCTGGGCTCATATGAAAGGACTTGAGGCTCTAAAATGGAGGTCATCTTCCTTGAGGAGCCAGAGAGACAGAGTCACTTGGGCTCAGAGTGGAGCTGAGCAGAAGGGCCAGGCTCCGCCCCTGAGCTCCAGATGGGGGTCTTCCTCTCTGCTCAGCCTTGTTTCTTCCAGCCAAGATTCGGCTGTGGTCTAAGGTCAGTTCCCACCCCCGCGGGGATCCTAAGGCAGAGCCACCTAGGGGACAAAGCATGAAGCCCTGCTCCCTCCTGCACACAGTGATGGTCGAGAGGACAGGCATTTAAAACCCTTCTATCTCAGGAACGGACTGAAGCTCAGCTGGAAGAATCTGCCCTGGCTGACAGACAGGTCTGTGTTGGAACTAAAGAGCAAATGGTTTCTGGCTCCGTGGCTGGAGCTGGAGAGGAAGAGGCAGAGAAAAAAAGAGCATGCTACTCAGGCACTTGGGCCAGCTACAGGCTGAGCATTCTGATCATGTTCCAGAACGGATTTCAGAACCTGGGACTCGTCCATGGAAAGAATGTAAAAGGATGTCTACTTTGTCACTTGGGAACCCTCCCGTAAACCATGTTTGCATAATCTTTAAGCCATATCTAAGAACAACAACTAAGGAAAAACACAGAAATACAGGGCACATGTTTCAGCCTTGTAAGAATTAGCAATTAACATAATAAACTAAACTAAAAAGTAGGAATACAGGTAGTGCAGCAGAGTTTAAAACTCTCTCCTCAGTTGCCAAAATGAAAAAAACACTCGGAAAGGAGACTTACCACCTATAGGTATATTGCACTCAGAATGTGTTTGCCTGAATGTATATCATAACCTTTACTATGCTCTTTAACTGTTCAGGTCTCCATTTGCCTTTCTCAGTATTGTCCACTAATCATCCTATGAAGAGCAGAAGGCTTGGTCCAGACAGGACAAACAGTCGACAGCTTCTGTTGCTTCCTGCTGCCACTAGGTGTCACTTTTGAACACTGAGCCCCAACAGCCCGACCAAGGTTGCAGCTTCAAGGCTGATTCAGTCCCTTGCTTAGAGAAATCACTGTCAACCAAGTAAAGGGTCCCATTCCTCAGCAATAAACACAGCCCCAGGGACCTTGAAGTCACAGTTCTTTGTGTTTGTGTGTCCAGCCATGAACGGGTACTGGCCCTAAACTCTGTGACCTGGAACACTCCTCCCCTCTACCAAGAAAATGAAGAAGCTTTTCATCAACACACAAAACACTAAGGATGTGCTGTGCTCTGCTTCTCCACACCTGGGGGAAAGCCTCTGCCATCTTCCTGGGAAAGGCCCTTTCTTTGCCAACCAGGGAGGAAGGTCACCCACCTTGATTCTCAGCAGACTCACCCTCCGTGGAGATGCTCCATAGGAGTAGGTGTCCCTTTTTAAGGAAAGACACCTGACACCATCCCAAGGAACTTACCTAATCAACACGGACTTCAGAGAGCCCACATTGATTTTCTAGAACCCAAAGCAAAGGCAAGACACCCCACAGAACTCTTTGTCAAAATGGCTCGTCTGATTGTGAAAATACTGGTTAGTTGGTTAAATAGGTACCATGTTTACTACTGACTCTGGACATGAAGAAACAGCCAGGGATGATGAGGATGGTTGTAGTCTCTGCCTCTTGATCAGGTAATAGTCACCAGTACTGTTTCTCCCAACCAGGGAAGGTCACTGCAAGGATGTTACCTGAAGATTGCTCCAGATCCACTAACTCCTCCATCTCTGCCAGTTCCTCTTCGTGAACCCCTGCTCTTACCCACTGCAACCAGCCTGAAAAGACATGCAAAGCACAAGAGGCAACGCGGCGTACGTTAAAAATACAAAAAGCAAAAACGGGTGCTTTGTTTCCCCTACTAGGTCTCCATCTGCTTTTACAAAGCACAGAGTGGAGCGTGAGGTAGAACCCAGGGCTTCGGATGTGCTCGGAATGTTGCTTTCACCACTTGAGCTGTGGTCCCAGCCATTTTGCTTCTGAGGTAGGGTGTGTGGATCTTTCCTTGGGCTGGCCTAGAACTCAAGATCTAGACCTAGACCTAGACCTCCCCAGTGGCTGGGATCCCAAAGGTGTGCGACCATGCCCAGCTCATTCTCACTTAGCATTGGGTTCCTCCCAATACCCCATGGACTACTTGTTGACTTAAATGTGATGAAGATCAAGATGTGAACACTGGTTCTTTTTTTTTTTCTTTTCTTTTTGTCGGTCATGGGGCTTGGACTCTGGACCTGGGCCCTGGTTCATTCATATTTAATATTTAATACAATAGTTAATATTTTATTTATGGAAGTTTAATCTGATTGGTCTGAGGTCTTAAAGATAACCCATTCTGAAATGCGGGTAGCTCTGGTGAGCAGAGCTGTGAATGTTATATACATATAGAGCCTGCCTACTTTAGGCACTGTTGTTGCCTTCCGGTCAGATGAGACCTGAAGCCTGTGCCAGGGCTATTTAGCCCCAGCAAGTTCTCTCCCCAGGGTTGGAGTTCCATTGCTGGTTACTGCACAGGGAGGGAAAGGTGCAGTAACTATGTTCTCTCACCTTCCTCACACCCCATCTCCACTTCAACAGGGCACCGGACTAGAGCTATTTGCCGCCATGAATCATGGAGCATCTGCCGAGTGTGGGGAGGAGGGACACGTCCAAAGGAAGCCAGGCCGCTGGCAAGCAGGACATGGCATGGAGATGGAGCCAGGCCCTCACAACCCCAGAGCTTCCTTACCTCCCCCCCATACACATAGGAGAATGTGGGGAGCCCCCAGAGTGTCCGCGCTCTCTATCTGTTGTTTCTGTTGGGTGTCTTCAACCATGCATTTCAAACAGAGTCGCTGGCCTGTCTCATATATGCAAAACCCTCCTGACCTGTCAGCCTTCACTGACTCCAAGTGAGGAAGACCATGATTCGCTGGCACACGAACCCCAAATCAAATCACAACGTGGCAGTTAAACGGTCTCTCATTCTTAGTTTGGTTTGCAGATTTGAATGGGCAGAATGGTATCTGTGCCAGGAGGCGTTGGTTGAAGGTGACAGGAACACAGGTGGTGTGAGATCTCAGCTTTCGGCACAGAGGTCCACCTCTCCTTCTCTCCTGTAGTTCACGCTCAGCCCAACCCACACCCCCTATGGTTCTATATTTTATCACCTGTTGTTGCTGTTAATATCTTACTGTGCCTAATTTATCAACTAAACCTTATAAATTGAGCAGAATAGATGTGGGGTACATAACTGTCATTTCAAGTCAGGCATCAGTGGCTCATCCTATAATCCTAGCTACTCAGGAGGCTGAGATCTGATTCAAAGTCAAAGGAAAGTGCGTGAGACTCTGATCTCCAAAACACCAGAAATGGAGCTGTTTACTCAAATGATTAAGTACCAGCCTTGAGCAAAAAAAGCTAAGAGACAGTGCCCAGGCCCTGAGTTCAAGCCCTGATATGGCACCAAAATAAAAAAACAAAAACAAACCCTGTCATTTCAGGCATTCAGTGGGATTCTTGGAATAAATTCTCTAACAACTTGCTCCAAAATGCTTTCTTGAAACATGTTTTCTGCCACTAGAGAAGTTTGGATATACTGTTGGTGCCATCTCCTAACAGCATGGACCAGCTGAATCCCTAAACCCCATGATGCTACCTGACACGCTCATCAGGGAAGTCGGTAGTCAATGAGAGCACTAAATCCCATGAACACCTTCTTGCTTGAAATGCTCAGTTGGCAATGCCAAACCACATCAAAACCTAGGTGAGGAGAGAATGAGGTAGGTAGAGCGATGTCTCGGAAAGCATGCAGTAATGCATGGTAATGACTTTAGATGCAGAATAAGGAATTAACACAGAGCTCTGTCTTCTGAAGATACTAGCTCAACAAGCCATTGTCACATGAAATGTGGGCATTCTATCATCAGTGAACAGTGGAATCAAAAGCAAACAAGTAGCCTACCAAAGGACAAATGTCTGTGCACCTTCAGGATAACTTATGCTCTAGGATTCAAATTCCAGCAAGAACAATGGACCAGATGAATCCCAAAATAACTGATTGACCAAATTAATAAGCATGAACACCACGCAGACACAGACTATGAAGGCTGTGGATCAAAGTTCATTTTAAAAGTATTTAGAATAGGTGGACATTTGCAGGGAAATGGATGGACCTAGAACAAATCATGTTAAATGAAATAAGAAAAGCTCAAAGACAGACGACGCATGCATTCTCTCATGGAAGTTAGACCTAAAATACTGGGACGTAATAAATTATACAGGTTTCTAGGCATTCACACCAGTGAGACCAAAAGAGGACACTCTTAGGAGAGGAAGACAGAGATGTAATGCCTATGTGCATCTGGTCATACAAAAAATTATTTATCGAAATGAACTCCAGGAAATGGTAACAAGAGTTTTTTTCTTTTTTCTATTTTTTTTTGTCGGTGATGGGGCTTGAACTCTGGGCCTGGGCACTGTCCCTCAGCTCTTCAGCTCAAGGTTGGGCTCTACCACTTGAGCCACAGCACCACTTCCAGTTTTCTGAGTGGCTTATTGGAGATAAGAGCCTCACGGACTTTCCTATCAGGGCTGGCTTTGACTGCAATCCTCAGATCTCAGCCTCCTGAGTAGCTAGGATTACAGATGTGTCCACCAGCACCCTGTATTTTTTTCTTTTTAGCTGTTTTTGTTTTCTTCCTTTTTTGTTCTGTTTGTTTTATGTCTTTGGGAGTGAACAATGCAGCAACAATACTCACTGGACACTATGTAGAAAACAAATTATATAACTGTAGATAAGGATGGGAGAGAAAAATTGGGAGAGAGCATGGGAAGGGGGCCATGGCCCAAGAAGAAATGCACTCTTTACCTGACTTACTCTTTACCTGTCTTTAAATGTACTCTTTACCTGAATTGTACTTTTTACCTGTAACCCCTCTGGACATCACCTTTATAATAACAATTAAAACTCTTTTAAAAAAAAGCAAGAATGGTTGGGCATAGTGCTCATACTTGTAATCCTAGCTCCTCAAGAGGCAGAGATCAGGAAGATTATGGTTTGAGGCCAGGCTAGGCAAAAAATTCGGGAGATCTCATCTCAATCAGTAAAAGACGGGGTGCAGTAGTCCTTCCCTGTCATCCACGAGGAGCCTTAAATGAGAGGAAAAACAGCAAAAGGAAAAGGGCTGTGGCATGGCCCAAGTGGTAAAAGCACTAGCCAAACCCCACCCTGCATAACAGAAACAACAGCAAAAATAAAAGCACCTTAAGGTCAGAGATTTGTTCACTGAATTCTAGAATGTGGGTAGTGGTTTGGATTTCCTTCAGGGTCAGAGTAAAGTTCATGTACTTTCACTTACTAAACCAACTGTATACAATGGCCAACAAAAGTACTGACACATAGCAATCTGGGCTTGGATGTGGTATAGCTGCAGCTCATGGAGAAATTACACTGGGAGCATCCACGACACCCACCCAGGCAGAAGAAGTCCATGGATTTAGAAAGATTGTCTGCCTATGAGGAGGGGAACGTGACTCTTCACTCCTTAAGTGTGCCTTTATAGGACTTCTCCCAGGGAGTTCAGGATGAAACTTAGGAAGAAAAAAGAATTACATGGAGGCCAGGCATGGTGACACAGCCTGGAATCTCAGCACTTGGGAGACTAAGGAAGGGGCATCAGGAGTTCTAAGCCAGCATTGGCTACAGGACAAGACATTGTCTCAAACAAACCAAAACAGACAGGGATAGTAGGGACAACAAAGGAGGGGGTAGCAATGGACTCATTACCTTACTCCTGTAACTGTAACCCCTCTGTACAGTGTATTTACAATAAAAAAACAGACAAAACAAAGTTATTTGCCAAGTGCTACCTCAACCAAGTGACCAAGGTCAAACCCATCATAAATCGTGGTGAAGGTAGACAACCTCAACGCAGTGTGATCTTCCTCCCATCATAACTCCAGTCTAATCATGAGAAAACATCTGGCAAAAGCCAGTAGAAGGAATCCTACACACACTTGACCAGTACCCCCCAAATTGTCAAGATCAGCAAAAGCAAGGTGAGTCACGAAGATGTTACAAACAACCTGTAGACACCAGAACTACAGATAACTTGGCATCCTGTCTGATATCCTAGAATAGAAATCTGTGAGAAACAAACGAAGAACCCTGAATAAAGCTTACACTTCAGCTAATAATCATGCACCCTTAATTGGTTTATTTCTTACAACGAAATGTACCACCCTAATGCAAAAGCAAAATGAGCAAATTGTATGAGTTTACTCTGAATGAATTTCACAAGTCCTTTCTTCAACCTAAAACCTTTCTCAGAAGTCTATTTTCAAACGGTATCAAACACAAATTATAATCTAAATTACATAATAGAAACTTACCAGGTGTCAATAAAAAGAAAAGAAAATGTTTTTCCTGCTTCGGTTCCAGGAGTCCACAAGGGAGAAGGACAGCAGCTTCTCTGCCTTAGTACAAGGTGTGGAGCTGAAAACGTGAGGGGTTTTCAACCTCAGTGGCTGGAGCAGAAGTGAAACTCACTTGTCATCCCCGGCAATCTCCACATCCTCTCCTCAGATACTGAGACAGGCTATTTCCTCCTTGCACGTGAACTGTGATTGACTGGAGATCATGCTTCTTTCTGATCTCTTGCTGCAAGCAGATGGCAGCCTGAACCAGTCAGAAAAATGCCCCACCTTTAAGAAAGATAAAGAGCTGTTTCTCAAACTTCCTGAAGTGAGACATGGCTGAGAGAAATGGAAGACAGGAGATGGTGATGTAAACTAACCTACCACCTGGAAATCCATGACAAGGCAAATCTAATTTTAAAGAAATTTAGCTTGGCACTGGTGGCTCATTCCTATAATCCTAGCTACTTGGGGGGCTGAACGTGAGAGGATTACAGTTCAAAGTCATCCTGGATAGAAAAGTTCAAAAGACCCTTGCTTTTAAATGTGTTGTTGTTATTATAAAGGTGATGTATAGAGGTTTGCAGCTATGTAAGTCAGGTAAAGAGTACTTTTCTTTTTGGGCAATGTCACCCCTTCTTTTGCTCTCTCCCAGTATTTCCCTCCCCTCTCCACCCACAAGTTGTATAGTTCATTTTCAACATAGTGTCCAGTAAGTTGCTGCCTTTGTTTTCCCTTTGTCCCTCCCCTTCAACTCCCAAAGACATATAAAGGAACAAACAGAACAAAAAGGGACAAAAACAAAAACAGAAAAAAGAAAAAACAACTCTTGTTTTCATTTCCTGGAGTTCATTTTGATACCTGCTCTTTTGTATGATTAGACACACAGAGGCACTGGGCCTTTCTCTTCTTCTCCTATGAGTATCCACTTTTGGTCTCACTGTGTGTGAATGCCCAGAGACCTGTATAATTTATTGTGTCCTGGTATTTTAGATCTAGCTTCTGCATGAGAGAAAACATGCATTGTTTGTCTCTCTAAGCTTTGCTTACTTCACTTAACATGATTTTTTCAAGGCCCATCCACTTTCCTGCAAATGACATAATTGTATTCTTTCTAATGTGTGTGTAAAATTCCATTGTGTATAGGTTCCACAATTTTTTGATCCACTCATCTATTGTAGGGCATCTGGGCTGTTTCCACAAGTTGGCTATTGTGAAGAGTGTAGCAATCAATATGGATGTGCAAATGAAAAGACCCCTTCTTAACAGAGCTAGCACCATGGTGTATGGGAGCCTGGGTACAACAGGAAACCTAAAATGGGCAGATTGCAGTCCATATGCATTCCAGGTGGGAGACCTTATCTCAAAAATAGCCAGTGCAAAAAAAAAATAGGCTGGAGGCTTGGTCTGGGAGTAGAAAGTCTGCCTACCAAGCATGAGGGAGTCCCTGAATTCAAATTCCATTAAAAAAAAAGCCAATATAAAGTTCAAGAAACTGAAAATGATCGTGATGATCACAGTGCTGGATCTTATCTCTCTCCGCAAAAATTACCCCTTATATTCTTATCCCATGTACCTCTCGCGCCCTCTGCTGGACATTTCTTTGCTGCAACAGTTATTGTTAATTGAAAGCAACTCTAGTAAACCACTTGGTTATTAAATTAGTTTTTGGTATTCTTCCCCTCTTGTAGACGCTTGGATCTTCTTGTTGGTGCCAAGCTCTGATTGTTTCTAGTTTGTTTGGTGTGTTCTCTTGAAAAGGAGCCCTGTGCTGGAGACCCTGTTCCTGTGTTTGATGGGTGGGATCCGGTTAATCCCTGTCCCTACACCACATTGATTCCTCCTCCGGTTTTGGGAGTTTCAAGGCTGCTTGGGTTCTTCATAGCAGTCCTTGAAACGTGTTCCTGAACACCTAACAGATCTATTTGGCCTGATAGTTTGGTCACTCTTCCAGAATAAATTTCCACTGAATTTGCTAAAAACACTGACACAGTTCAAAGTTCTGCAGCTCTGCCATCTCTCCTTATTGTTACTGCTTCTCCTGCTAGCTGTTCTTAGCTGTGTCATCCATGCACACATCAACGCTAATCTCCTCTCCTCCACACCGTGTCCCATGACTTAAGAGGAGAATGCGCCTCTCAACTTTTCACCTTCCACTAGATTATCTGCATCTGCACACAAACTTTTGTGTTCATGGACACACACTGTGATCTCAGTGAGAGTTGTTGGAATGCAGTCTCAATCTTCTCTTAATCAATCATAAATCCACTTCCAGTCAGGCTGTCTCCCTTACCACTCCCCAAAATTGTTCTTGTCTCAGTCCTCAATGGTAGGGAACTCTGAAGCTGAGCTGTGAAACCTGGGAAATATTTGAGAGGTTGGAGCACTGTCTCGTCAGCACTGAGAGCTGGCCATGGAAGGGTTAAAACAGACAGCCCTGGAGAAGGCGAAGAGACCGAAGAGACCGTAAGGCCATCCCCCTTCCTTGGGGCTGGTGACCTTGAAGGCTAGATAAGGTGGATGTCCGTGGGCTGCAGTCTCTTGTCTCAACGAATAAGGGAACCAATGTCTCTCACAAACAGTTTTGGGCTCTGATTGTAATTTTAAGATAGACGCTCTCCTTTTTGCATGTATTCATGTAACCTCCCATTTGCTTGTGGGAACTCGGGGCCCACGTGCCAGTGAGCCTTGGGAGCCTGGTCTCCCCCAGATCTGTCTTTGTGTGTTCTCTTGTACTGCCTCAGGTTGTGGTGAGGAACACCCAATGATCCTGGGCTAGTCCACCTTCATTTTTCTCTTGTTATTATCAGTACCTGGCTCCAATCACATACTTTCCTCGCTCGGCCTCCAGGTATCCAGATTCTTCCAGTTTGCTTCCCACAGCCTTTGATACAGCTTCTCCAGTGCCTCCCTGACTCCTCTCATCTTCAAAGGTTAATGATTGAATACCCCAGGGCCTAGCTTTTGGACTCTCACCCTGGGTGTTTAACTTCACCCATATACCAATTAACTCTTGACTGGTTATCAAGAATTGTACCGCTTACTGGACATCTCAAATAGATCCCTGCTCACCTCCACCCCCACTTCACACATCATCTTCCTTGTTTCAATGAATGATAACTACATTCCTCCAGCCCCCCAAAACTTTTGGTCTCGCTCTGGATCGTTGATGTCCTTCTCCAATATCCCACATCTGATGGAAGTCTTGTTGAAATTATCGAAATCAATTCAGATTTTTAAAGTAAGTTTTTTATTGTGAAAATACTGTACAGAGAAGGGGTTACAGTTACATGAGCAAGGTAATGAATACGTTTATCAAACATTGTTGCCTTCTCCTTTGTTTTCCCCCTACCATCCCTTCTCTTCCATTTCCACAACTATACTTGCCCCCCCCACCCGCCCCCCCACCTAAATTGTAAAGTTTGTTTTTTTGACATAGCATCTTGTACATCTTATTGTTGCAATGGGTCAACTTGCATCCCTATTTAAACAATTTGTTTTTTCCCTTCCCCTCCCTAAATTTTACCAACATCAAATACAGTGATAACAGGGGTTATACCGTGGGGGAATCAATTCAGATTTTAAACACTGTTTACAACCCTGATTTGAGACATAATAATCTCTTGGCCTATTTGGTGATTCCCAAAACTTGGCTGTATAGAGGAAACAGCTAAGGATTTGAAAAACATGAGAATGGCTGGCTTCTAGCCCTTGCCCTCTGATTTAGTAAGGATGGACATAGACTAGGCCCTAGGACTTTTTTTTTTTTCTCACTGCTCTCCAAATACTTCTAATGTGTATCAATGGAATTACTAGCAAGGCTATAGTAATAGCCTTCACAGTGAGCACCCGGCTTCTTTCCACCGCTCCACAGCCCAGCAAACAGACACAGTTGTACGCCATACAATTCCTCTGCTAAAAGGCCAACAGCTCATGATCTTACTTAGATAAAAGCCCAAGGTTAAATGCACAACATTTTTACATGAGGTCCACTACTACCTCATTACTTCTCTGACCTCTAACAGGCTTTGTCTCATTGATGCTGGCCTCCCTTCTTAAATAAACCAGGAATCTTCTTAACCTAAGACCTTGTCACTGTTGCTCTGCTTGAATGCCCTCTCTTTAATTATTGGCATATCAAATATTAGTTTAAATGTCACCATTTCAATTGCAAATCGCAATTGTAGCACCCTCCGGTTTCTAAGTGATGAGATGCATAATGGTATCATTCAATATAGGAAAGTGTGGAAAGACTAGATTTGGAGGAAAAAACAGATTTCTGTTGTAGACATGTTAAGTTTGGGGTGCCTATTTGACACCTAAATCTAACAAGATGTCAAATAGGGGAGAAGCCGGGGTTAAACTATAAACCTAGGAACAGAGATGATATTTAAAGCTATAGACTTTTGGGGTCGCATTCAGAGACAAGACTGAGTGTCCCCTGAAGAGAATGAAAAACAACGGAACAAGCACGGCTGGCCCTATCTTAACATGTTTTCCAGGGAAGATAAAGTGTGTTCATCGGCAATAGCACGGCCATCAGGACAGAGAGAGCACACACCCTGGCCAGGGAGCGCCAAGCCCGTCGGCAGCGCCCTCAGCGCCGGCGGCAAGAGCGCGCACTCGGGGCTTCAAGAATGGAAGCGGAACGGCAATAACGGAACACTTGACGGCAAAACGAGTGCGAAGAGGTCCCAATCCGCAAGTAAGTAAATAAGGTCGTAAACAAGGGAGATCAGGGAAGGTTCCAGAACAAGTAGCCAAGTCCGGGTTCCCAACTCGGCGAACTCTGTGTGGATGTTTATTTGGGAGAGAAACCGTTATTCTCCACGACGGCTACCCATGGGGGTCAGCTGCGGGGCTGAGACGACGGTGACCGACTGACCCCGACCCCGACCTCTGACCCCGGCCCCGTTCCAGGCTCAGCTCGGGCCAGGTCGCAGATCTCCGTCCCCAGGATGAGGAGTCGGTCACCGCCACCGGAAGTGACGCATTCCGCCTGTCCCGCCCCCACGCTCTCCCTCAGCCTTCCTCCAGCGGTCTCTCCGGGAAGATGTAGCCCCATGACTTACACCGTCCGGGTCGAGCTTCCGGTCCCTCGCCATTCCGCACACCCTGCTACCTGCGCAGCCGGACAGGACGGCGGCTGTGCCCAGTCCCGGTGGGAGGGGAGGGGCGGGGCTTCGAGCGCCGACTTCCGGGATGAGCTTTACGGTACGGTGGGCGTGCTCTTACGACATTCCGGGGTTGCTTTACGGCCGTCAACTTGCTCCGCGGTCTGCGTCCGATTTCGTGGTCGCCTGTGCAGCGGCGGCGCGGCGATGAGGCAGAAACGCAAAGGTGCGGACGGGCGACGGGGCGGGGGGACTGGGGGAGCAGGCCGTGGGGGCTCCGGTGCTCAGAGACCGAGCCCAGCGCCTCGCGCGGGAGCCCCGGGATCGGGCCGCCCCCCGCCCCCCGTTCCTTGTCCGAGCGGCTCCGCCCGCGAGTCCG